GCTCTTTTGAATGTTTTTTCAAATATCAAATGGATGGACCTAACTCACAAATCAAACCTCCCTTTTGTATAGCTGTTTCTGGGTTTTGCACCTGCACACTGTGACACATCATCCATTCCTAAAACGTAATCCAACAGTTGCCATAGCAACAGAAAGATTATTACTCCTCCTCCCAACACATCCTTTTTCCCCAACAACTTTATTGAGATGTAATTCACATACTATATAATTCATCCATTTATAGTATACAAATAAATGATGTTAATGATTAATTTTGTCAGAATATACACAACATAAAACTTGTTAAAACCATTTTAAGTGTACATTTCAGTGGCATTAATTACATTCACAACATTGTGCAACCATCAGCACTATTTTCCAATCCATTCTCATGGATTTCAAGTGACTCTTGAAAAAGTTACTCCACTTAGAAATTGCTTTATGGAAAATTTATAATTATAAAAGCAAAGTCTACTATAGTATATATTCTCAATAAAAAGAATATTGATCCCAGGGGGCAAAAATTGGTACTTGAGGAAGGCAAAAAAAACCTCAGATAATGGTTTATGGTTTTCCACATCTTAACACTTTCTGACAAAATTTTATTCCTTAGTATTTAACTCTTATTCCTAAAGAGAAAATTTTAAATTAAATTAAAATTAATTTTTTCTCTCTAGGAATATAAAAAAATGGTTGAGAAACACTATCTTTAAATTCAAAAGCAAGCATTGTTACTCAAACTATGAAACACTACCTTAAAACAGTGCTCAAACTGCAAAAAGAGGCTATATCCCACTAAAATCCAATCCACGTTGTAAACTGCCTAATCTTGAACAAGATAATGGAAAAAATTATCATGCAATTTTAATATTTAAATAAAGCAGAAAATCAACACACTAGCTGAAACACTGGTTTTAAATTTACCTTAAATGCTGATAATTAAGAGAAAAGAAAAATTAAGTATAAATAGGGGGAAAAGCAAGTAGCATGGGTAGTGGTTGGGTGTCGAACTATGAACAAGGAGGTCACGGTTTGATTCCTGGCAGAGGGTATATTCCCGGGTTGCGGGCTCCATCTCCAGTGTGGGGCATGCAGGAGGCAGCCAATCAATGATTCTCTCTCAGCATTAATGTTTCTATCAGTCTCTCCCTCTCCCTTTCTCTGAAATCAATAAAAAATATATATTTTTAAAATTATACAGTTTCTAAAAATAAATACAATAAACAGGGGCAATAGAGAGAAAAGGGTAGACCTTTTGACATCTAATAGTTTTAATTATCTTTATAGTCTCACTTTGTAAATATCTATCATCTACCTCCTCTTCCTTTTCTCTCCATGAAGATGAGGGCCAGATCCATCTGCCTTTTTCATCACCTGATTCACAACACCAAGCACAGTTTCTGGTTCATTCAACTACCTGATGAACTAGAATAGGAATAAGAAAATAAAGAAAGAAGAAAGAGATGGGGAGAGAGGGAGAAAGGAAAATACAAATATTCTATAGGTAGATAGGGGAAAAAAAGAGAGTTCCTAGAGATGGGAAAGAGAAATTATCTGAACTAACAGTATGTAGGAAAGTGGTGAGAACATGAGATGAAAAAGATGGTGAAAGTGGCTTTACGTTTCAGTTCACTGTGAGAGCCATCAAGTAACATCACTAACCCAAGACAACTTATTTGCAAGTTTTTCCCTCCTTTCTCTTCCTTTCTAGGGAAGAGATGGAAAGCTCCCATGGATATTTGTATATAGAAGTAAATAATGTTTATGTGTTTAACTAAAGAAATGCCTATATATAGTGATTTTCTAATACCAGACCTCTATAAAGCGCCAGGCTTCTATCCTCATCACGTATGATCCATCCAGTCTAACTAGAGGCCCAGTGCACGAATTCATGCATAGATGGGGTCCCTTGGCCTGGCTGGCGATCAGGGGGGGCCAGCCTGCCGGGGAAGGGACCATGGGAGGTTGGCCGGCTGACCCCACCCCCATCGGGCCCATCGGGCAGGGGAGGGGGTGGTGGCCAGCAGGCTGGAGAGAGGGATCGCAGGAGGTTGGCCCCAGCAGCAAGCTAACCAATGACCAATTCCACGAGGAATTGGGCTCCCTCCTCCCTCCTGTCTGGGTCCGGGGTGCAGGTGAACCAGATTTGGGGCCTTTAGGGCCCCAGCAGCAAGCTAACGCATGGCCAATTCTGTGAGGAATCGGGCTCCCTCCTGTCTGGGTTCAGGGTGCAGGTGAACCAGATTCAGCGCTGTCAGGGCCCCATCAGCAAGGTCTAGGTCAGTGTGCGTCACAGCTACTGGCTGGTCATCCGGTCATTTGGTCATAATGGTCACTTAGGCTTTTATAGATAGATAGGTAGGTAGGTAGGTAGGTAGGTAGGTAAATAGATAGATAGGTTTTCCCACCCCATCCCACCCCACCCCCACTTAACTGCAGTTTTGCTTTCTGCCAGTTTCAGTTACCCAAGGTCAACCACAGTAAAAAAATAATAAAGTTCAAAAAATAATTAAAAAGTTTAAATTGCATGCCGTACTGAGTAGTGTGATAAAATATCTCATCATCCCACCCCACCCTGCCTGTGTATCTTTTGTCAGTGTATCCACCTCATTTAATTTCATCATGTAAGCATTGTACCATCTCACATCATCACAAGAAGAAGGGTGAGTATAGTACAGTAAGGTATTTTGAAAGAGACCACACTCACATAACTTTCATTGTAATTCTTATTATAATTTTTGTTATAATTGTTCTATTTTATTGTTAGTTATTGTTAATCTCTTATGGTTCCTAACTTATTTTGCAGAATTGTGAACTAAAAAGAACTCCATTTCTTTCTTTTTTTAATATATTTTTATTGATTTCAGAGAAGAAGGGAGAGATAGAAACATCGATGAGAATCATTGATTGGGTGCCTCCTGCACGCCCCCTACTGGGGACTGAGTCTGCAATTGGACATGTTTACTTGACCGGAATCAAACCCGGGACCCTTCAGTCCACAGGCCCATGCTCTATCCACTGAGCCAATCCGGCTAGGGCAAAAGAACTCCATTTCCTTATGAAAGTGTATATGGTCTTTATTCCCTGGTAACAAGTGATCAGTTCATTTTCTTTCAAATCAACATTCATTTGACAAGCAAAAAATAACTAGATGAGCAACATACTATGTCATCTTACAGTTTCCTGAAATTGTGACACAAAGCATAACCAAATAGGTTCATTATAATTTCTACAGTTATTTCAACAAATGAGAAAATGTGTATGAAAACATTTTTTAAACCATAAAGCAATATACAAACCAAAGTTGCTGTTATTCACCACCAGATGGTGATCAATGTCTTATTTAAAGCAAAATGCTGACACCTTATTTGGAGCCCAGCCAGCTGACTGTTAAAAATGTTCAATAAAGAAGCCAGGGTGTGTGAATAAAATGTTGGTGATTTTTAAGTTTGGTTAGCTGAGACATCAGCAAAACACAAGCAATAAAAAACAGGTTTAGCCTTGCCCAACCAGCATGGTTCAGTGGTTGAGCACCAACCTATGAACCAGGAGGTCACAGTTCGATTCCAGTGAGGGCGCATGCCTGGGTTCCGGGCTCGATTCCCCAGTAGGGGGCATGCAGGAGGGAGTCCATTAATGATTATCTCTCATCATTGTTGTTTCTATCTCCCTTCCTCTCTGAAATCAATAAAGATTTTTTAAAAATAGGTTCAGCCTGAAGACTTTGAAAGATTTGTTCCTGTGAACATTTCATAATTCTAGAATTTAAGGCAAAACACATGTGTTTCTGGCATTCTTATATATTGGTTATTTAACCATTCATACCACCCCACTCCAATGATGATCAATATATGACCACAAGACTTTGTCCTCCCAATGTTATTTTAAAGCAAATCCAGATATCATGACTTCATCCCTCAATATTTCACTGTGTATCTCTAACGGGTAAGGACTCTTTAAAAAGTACCATAATGTTAATAGTAACACTAAAAAATTAATAATTCCACCCTGACTAGTGTAGCTCAGTTGTTATAGAGTGTTGGCCCACGTACTGAAGGGTCTAAGGTAGTGGTTCTCAACCTTCCTAATGCCGTGACCCTTTAATACAGTTCCTCATGTTGTGGTGACCCCCAACCATAAAATTATTTTCGTTGCTACTTCATAACTGCAATTTTGCTACTGTTATGAATCGTAATGTAAATATCTGATATGCAGGATGTATTTTCATTGTTACAAATTGAACATAATTAAAGCATAGTGATTAATCACAAAAACAATATGTAATTATATACGTGTTTTCCGATGGTCTTAGGCGACCCCTGTGAAAGGGTCGTTCGACCCCTTAAGGGGTCACAACCCACAGGTTGAGAACCGCTGGTCTAAGGTTTAATTCCTGGTCAAAGGCAGGTACCTGGGTTGCGATTCGATCCCCGCCCCAGTCGGGATGTTATGGGAGGCAACCAATTGATGTGTCTTTTTTTCACATGGATGTTTCTCCCTCTCCCCCTCCCTTTCTCCTATTTCTAAAGATCAATGGAAAAAACATCCTTAGGCGAGGATTAACAATAAACAAAAAAATAAATAAATATTAACAATTCCTTAATGTCATAAAATTTCCAGTCAAGCAAACAACTTTTAAGTACTTTAGTTAACCAAAAAATGAAGTTGTATTTTATTGCTACCTCTAGTAGCAGATGCTGGCAGCAGCTCACTTTTACCCCCTCAGCACTTTGGGTTCCAGCGCAGGCAGGGGAGTTAGCTGTTTCTGGGAGCAAGCCTTCAACCAATAACTGACAGAAGCTCCTTTACCTCTTGGTTGGGATAAATCTGACATGTGATCTACACTCTCTCAGAGTTCAACAGGAAGATTCAGCTCCAGGTATCAACAAAGTAACTTGGTAATATATCTTGTATTGGCTTTACCCCCCTTCCCAGTCTCACTTCCCCCTCCTTCATCAGTATTTCTGGCATCACTTTCCAAATAAACTACTTGCACTCACATTTTTGTCTCAAGGTCTGCTTCTTGCGGATTCCAACATAAGACAACCTCTTAGTGTTTCAATGAAAGCTATGGACATCCTAAGAAAACGTAAACAAAAAATTTCTACTAATATGTTCAAAGAGTTTATAGACAACCCAAAAGGCATACAAACATCTCAGTTTAAAGA